TGCAAAATACTGCTTTGCAAAATAGAAGAAGTGTCAAGTGTGAGACAAAGGAACTTTACTAAGATACTGAAATAGATCATCGCACTCCTTATATACTCAACTGATCACAGTGCTCTGCAGGAGAGAGCCTCCTGCAGATACCATCTCATCATGAGGTCCACTCCATATGATGTAAGAAATTGGTCCTTCAGTGTGGCGGCACCTATCCTTTGGAACTACTTCCTATTATATCAGCCACCATTTCTATTATTTTTTTCAATGCCTATTTGAAGACTTCCCTTTTCCTACAATTCTTCAAAGACTACTTTTTTAAAGTCTCTGCATCTGTATTGGCCCGAAACTGTTTTTCTATGTGTTTTGATTGTTAACATTTTCATTGTTAAATCACTTGGGCCAGTTTTATGGGATGGAATACATAAATGAAATAAATAAATCAATATTTCAACGGTGCAGTTCCTACATTGCTAATGCAAAATCGCGGCCAATTTTTGTGTGATTGGTTTTGACTTACTTCCTATATTCCATGCATTGGACACATTTGTTGGAGAATAGTACATGTCTGTCCTCTTGGGCAGGACATTAAGAAAACTATTTTTAGAGGCTACGTATTCTGTATTTTTTCATACCCTCCCCAAACACTTCATCCCTGTTCTCACACTAAATATATCTGTCTATGCCTCTGTTGGAGAAGGGCTGTAGCTCAGTTGTACATGTACAATTGTTCATTACATAAAGAATAAAGGGAAGCAGAAATTGACAGATTTGTTCATTCCCAGGGTAGCCAATATTGAGTTGGAAGGACCAATAGTCTGGCTCAGAAGTATAGCATTGCGGGGGGGGGGGGCAAGGAAGCTGTTCCCCCGGGAGCACAGGATTAACATTGGTTAAGAAAGTGAAATATTTAGGGGTTAACATGACTGCCAAAAATGTGAATCTGTTCAAGGATAATTATGAAAAATGTTGGATAGAAGTGAAAAAGGATTTAGAAATATGGTCAAATTTGAAGTTATCATTGTTAGGCCGAATTGCTGTGATAAAAATGAATGTGCTGCCAAGGATGTTGTTTCTGTTTCAAACATTACAAATTTTGGACAAGATGGATTGTTTCCAGAAGTGGCAGAAAGATATTTCTAGATTTGTTTGGCAGGGCAAGAAGCCTCGAATAAAATTTAAGATATTAACTGATGCTAAAGAAAGAGGTGGATTTGCCCTGCCAGACCTTAAACTTTATTATGAATCAGCAGCTTTTTGCTGGCTGAGAGAATGGCTGCTTCTTGAAAGCACTGACGTGTTGGATTTAGAAGGTTTCAACAACGTATTTGGTTGGCATGCATATTTGTGGTACGACAAGGTAAAAGCACATAAAGCGTTCAAAAATCATATTGTTAGAAAACCACTGTTTAACGTTTGGATAAAGATATAAAGATTTGTTAGAAAAGAAAACCCTAAGATGGCTGTCTCCAATGGAAGCGAAGGCACAGAAAAAACTCAATATGGAGGCCAAATGGCCGAAATATTGGGAAATTCTGGATCAAGATGGAGACAGAATAAAATTGCAAAGCTTTGAAAAATTGAAGAATAAAGTGCGAGATTGGCTCCATTATTATCAAATAATGGAGGCATACAATTTGGACAAAAAAGCTGGTTTCCAGGTGGAAAAATCAAAATTGGAAACAGAATTGTTAGACTCCAAAATTAAGAATTTGTCAAAAATGTATAACTTGCTGTTGAAATGGAATACTCAGGATGAAACGGTGAAATCAGCAATGATTAAATGGGCACAAGATGTTGGACATAACATAATGATGGCTGACTGGGAACAGTTATGGACCACAGGTATGAAATTTACGGCATGTAATGCTTTAAGAGAAAACTTAATGAAAATGATTTATAGGTGGTACATGACACCAGTCAAGCTTGCAAAAATCTACCATTTGCCCGATAATAAATGTTGGAAATGTAACGAGACTGACGGCACATTCTTTCACCTTTGGTGGACATGCCCAAGGATTAAGACATTCTGGGAGATGATTTATAATGAAATGAAAAAGGTATTTAAATATACCTTCCTGAAGAAACCAGAGGCCTTTCTCCTGGGCATGGTCGGCCAATTGGTGCCAAAGAAGGATAGAACTTTTTTTATGTATGCTACAACAGCAGCAAGAATACTTATCACGAAGTATTGGAAGACACAAGATTTACCCACCCGGGAAGAATGGCAGATGAAGTTGATGGACTATATGGAATTGGCAGAAATGACTGGCAGAATCCGAGACCAGGGAGAAGAGTCGGTGGAAGAAGATTGGAAAAAATTAAAAGATTACTTACAGAAATATTGTAAAATTAATGAATGTTAGAAAAATGTTGGAATGAAGTTACATGGCTTTAGTAGAAATGTTATAAGGAATTAAGTATAAATAGATTAATAGAGTATTAAAGGAAAAAATAAGGTTAGAATTAGTTAAGATAATTATAGGATAGAAAACAGAGATAGATGGAAAGGAATTGCTGAAATAATTAACAGAAGTAGAATACAAAAAGGGAGGTGTGAGGAGGTCGCGGAAATAAGTGAATGAAAGATGGGATAATGAAATTGTTTGATTTATTTTATTGTTGTTGTATTGTTTTGTTAGTTTAATGTATTGTATTGTATGTGGGTTTTTTTCTTTTCTTTTAGTGTTTAATTTTTTTGGAAAAGTAATAAATATTATTTTAAAAAAACAAAAAAACAGAAGTATAGCATTGCAGGGGGGGGGCAAGGAAGCTGTTCCCCCGGAGTCGGTGGAAGAAGATTGGAAAAAGTTTAAAGACTATTTACAGAAATATTGTAAAATTAATGAATGTTAGAATGATGTTGGATAGAAACTAAGTGGTTTCTAGCTGTAATGTTATAAGGGAATATGAAAAAAATGGACTATTAATAGGTAAAAATCTAATGTTACAATACTTTAAGATTGAAGATTAGGATAAACAAAGAGGGGAGGGATTTGCTGAACTAACAAACTGAATTGGAATACAGAAAAGGGAGGTGTGAGGAGGTCCGGGAAATAAGCAAATGAAAGATAAGTGATTGAAAGACTGAATTGTTTTTAACTATTTTTATTTTGTATTTTTCTTTTTTCTTTTTTTTATTGTGTAATATTTTGAAAATCTTAATAAATATCTTTTTTTTTTTTAAAAAAAGGAAGCTGTTCCCCCCGGGAGCACATTTTTGAGAGGGTGCAGTGAGGCACCCCCATGACAGACTCCCTCATAGAAGCTGGAGTTGCAGGGAGGCAAGCCACACTGAACCTGGGCTTTTGGGACTGGGGTCACAGTGGCAGCTTCTTCTTGTGGCCAGCAAAGGGAGACCCAGGTGTGCCCCACCCCTGTGCCAGCAAGGGGGAGTGCATCTCTGCCTACCAAGGAGAAGTGAGAGTCTCTGGCAAACTGGCCAGCTCACCCAGTCAGCGGACTCAGGGCTTGGCAGGGGCCATTGGCAGTACACAGCTCCAGAGCAGGGTGCTTCCTGCAGCCAGAGCTGACAAGGAGGGTGGGGGGAGCCAGAGCCTATATCTGGCTTATTCAGAAGAGAGAAATGCAACAGGGGTGGTTTTCCAATCCTTGTGTAACATGGCATGCTCTAAACCCCAGTGGTTGGAGGGGATAGGAACATACCAGTTGCTGGAAACCACAGGAGGAAAGGGATCTGTTGTGTCCAGATCCCACTTGCTGGTTTTCCACATGCAGCTGGTAGGCCACTGTGGGAACAGGAGCCAGAGCTTGATGGGCGCAGCAGGTTCTTCATATGTGGTGGAGAGGACCTTATAGACCAGCTCACTGCAGGAGATCCATAGCTAGAACATCCTCAAGAGAAGGCAGTCCAGACTCCCACTGAAGCAACAGAGAGCCCACCAGTGATCTAAGCAATTTGTTCTATTTCCAAACTTCCCCTAGTTATCAAGAAGTTTATCCTATTTATTTCTACAATTTATAATTAATTACAATAATATCCATGTGGTGTGTAAAAAACTTGATATGATAGGGGGTGGGGGAATAAGTTAAAATTATAAAAGCATAATTCAATTAAAGTGCCTGCTGGAATAATTAAAATAAGTCTTCAACAGTTGCCAAAAGTTCAAAAGAGAGGGAGCCTTTTTGACCTAAGCTGGAAGGGAGTTCCATTAATTGGGCCCAAAATACTGAACACCTAGCTATGCATCTGAGCCATGGAGGACCGCTGGTAGTTGTTCTTCTTAAGACCTCAGTGATTGGGCAGGGATATAAGGGTTCAGGCTATCCTTGGGGTATCCTGGGCCCAAATTGTTAAGGGCCTTCTAAATTAATATAAAAACCTTTAACCTGGCTAGGTAGCATATGGGCAGCCAGTTTACACTGCTGAGCACTGGAGTTGTGTACTAATGGCAGTCTGTCCCTATCAACAGTCTAGCCACAGTGTTTTGCACCATCTGGAGCCTCTGGATCATACCCAGGTTAAATGAAATCCAGTCTGTTGCAACTTACGCTGATTGGATCTAGTCTCTGCACCCTGGGGCAGTAGCAAAGAACAAGTGATTGCCCTCTTCTCTGTGACAGCCCTTCAAGTTTTTAAAGAGCACTTTATGTTCCCTCTCAGTCTGCTCTTCTGCAGGCTAAACATCCCCAGTTCCTTCAATCTTTCCTTACTGCTGATCACCTTTGCTGCCTTCCTCTGAAGTGGTTCCAATCTGTCTGCATCCTTCTTGAAGTGTGACACCTAGAATTTGACACAGTTGTACAGGTGAGATTCAGCTAGTGCAGAATAAATTGGAAATATTGCTTCCCATGATTTAGAAACGGTGGGCTTTTTAATGAAGCCTAAAATCACAGTAGCCATGTGCCTATCTGCCTGCTGACAAGTTCAGCTTGTGATTGACTACAGTCCTGAAATCACCATGGCATTACTCACATGCCAGAGGTTCAGCTGTCCTGATTTGGTCTACCATCCTAATGAGCCAATAAAACTGCGGTGTTCTGGAAGGGCTGTGGTTTAGTGATAAAGCATCTGTTTTGCATGCAGAAGGTCCCAGGTTCAATTTCGGGCATCTCCAGGTAGGCCTGGTTGAGACCCCCTGCCTTGACAAACATGGAGAGCCACCAGCAGTCAGTGTAGACAATGCAGAGCTAGAAGAAACAATGGTCTGACAGTATAATATATGGTTACCAGATTTTTTTCAATGAATCCGGGGACACTTTTTTAAAAATTACATGCTTTACTATCCCTTATTTATTTATTTAGTCCAGAGGAGAGAAACCTGGGGGGTTGAGTTGACTCGCGACGGGACGACAAAAAGTGAGGGCTGAAGGCTGGCGCCGCAGCAATTTAGGCTGCTCTACATGACCCCTTGAAGGCACCTGTTTGGGTGCCTGGCCGAGGGCGTGGGCACCAGCCAGGTGGTGGGAGGCAGGGGGCAAACGCCCCCTACTTGAGGCGGAGTCTGGCTCCCGGCCACAACTACTCCCCTCTCTTGCAGGGAGGAGAGTCTTTACCAGATTTTTTTCAATGACTCCGGGGACACTATTTTAAAAATTACATGCTTTACTATCCCTTATTTATTTATTTAGTCCAGAGGAGAGAAACCTGGGGGGTTGAGTTGGAAGCAGAGTTTGAGAATACAACTGTGGGATGATCACAGAATCACAGATTTAGAGAGGACCTCTGTGGGGCATCTAGGCCAACCCCCTGCAATGGAGGTACCTCAACTCAAGCAGCTTCAACTTAAAAGAACATAAGGCTTCCCTGCTCCAGTTTGACTTCTGCAGTTCCTGGCCGTCGGGGACACACTCTCGTTCACGCTCTCTCTCACGCTCAGCTGCCTGGCTCCGCACCAGCTCCGCCGCCGCTCCAGTTGGCCGAGGGGATCAAAGTCATCTCACTCCTCCGCGCCTTGCCCAGCAGAGAAACCGCACACCTTGGAACTGCGTGCCTCCAGCCCCAAGCCTCCCCCGATCTTTTGCCCCTCCCCTCTTTGTTTTGACAGATTGGGGGAGGCAGTGAACCCTATGCTTCAGTAGAGTGCATTGTGCCTAGGGTTGCCACCCATCCCTAGAAAAACATGAGGGGTGGGAAGATAGTTTTTGCGCAGGCTCAGGAGTCACAGGTGGGCGGCACGCTGTTGCCCAGGAGGAACGCAAGGCACATGGTTTCTCTGCCAGGCAATGTGCAAAGCCCTTCTTTTGCACTCTTCGATCCCCCTACCCACCTCTGCCTCTGCCTGTGCAAAAACTATCTTCCCACCCCTCCAGCTGTGTATTACTCCAGGAGAGCAGGGTGTCACATTTCCAGGGACATTTAATGAAATCCAGGGACATTCTGGGGACGGAATTTGTCCGCGGACAGATTTGCAAATCCGGGGACTGTCCCTGGGAAATGGGGACATCTGGTAACCCTAGTATAAGATAGTTTTCTACGTTCCTAACATTTACTATTAGGGCTTGGTGTGTAGATGCCTGCAGGACACTGGGTGGTATACAACTAACACATTCCATCAGCACAAAGTTCTAAGCTTTGTGATGGAGGGCCCCTACTTCTCTTCCCACTGAGCATGCCTCACACATCCCCCCAATGGACCATGGATAGTTCAGTCGGTAGAGCATGAGACTCTTAATCTCAGAGTCAAGAGTTCGAGCCTCACATTGGGCAAAAGAAACCTGCATTGCAGGGGGTTGGACTACATGACCCTTGTGGTACCTTCCAATTCTACAATTCTATGATTCTAAATCTGCTCTGGAGCCTAGAGAAGACCCCCAGAACAGATTTAGGGGGCACATAGGGGAGAGGATGAAAAGTTATGTACCATAAATGCAAACTTGCTGCTTGTTGTTCTTGTTGTTGTCTGTAATACAAGCCAGGTTAGAATGCTTACCCTTGATAGCTGTCATTTTGCCATTCACCAACCTAGCACTGACCAGCAGCATTTCAACCCAGGAGGACTGTTGACAAGACTATCCAGGATATTTCAACAGGGAACCCTATTGTGGTACCCTTTAATTTGGATGCAACCCCCTACCTGAAAACTCAAGATAAGGTTTAGTTCCCTCCCCCAATCAGTTCCTTGGAGATAAATGCAATCTGTGGTCCATCAAGGGGTACCGGTAATGGAATTTTCAATCCACCAGGCTGGTATTAATAGAACTTGGGTGAGCTTCTGCATTTCCTTGACCTAGTGAAGTTCAAGGATGGAGAACATGTGTCTCTCCAGATATTGTGGGATTACAGCTCCCTTCATCCTCGGCCAAAGGCCATGCTGGCTGAAGATGAGAAGTTTGGCTCCAACAACATCTGGAGGGACATGGGTCTCCTAGCCCTGGTGCATGGCAATCATGATGCCTACTCAATCTTTTGAAGCTCCAACAGTCTATTTGACGACACTTTGTATTAGTTAGTATCTTCTTTGCAGATTGGAAAATCTCTCTTTATCTCCCTGGTCTCCATGAAGTTGAGCTCTCTGTGACCAACTCCCAGTGCCAATCAAACATCTCACGGGAGGAGGCAATGGCTGTTACTGGCAGGCAAGATGTACTCATGGGCTTGAACCACATAAATATTACAAAGAGATGTTAGGACTCTTGAAACATCTGTCAAAAGTGATCACTTTCAAAGCAGTGAGCTGACCTCTTCTTCCTGCTCAAAATCTTTCTTCCTTGCCTTGTCCTAATTTCCACAAAGCCAGATTCAGAAACCGGAGCTGAAAGGGGAAGGGGCAAAAAACAAAACAAAACACATGCTCCCACCATCCAAAACATCATTCCAGTTGGAGGCTGTTGCAGCTGGTCTGGTGAGCACTTGGTTACCTTCAAGGATGTGTACAGGCTGCTTGCACAAGTGAAACTGACTGCATGTCTCCTTGATTCTTGCCCATGCTGTCTCATAAAAGCAATGGGCTTTGTGGGGTGATGAATGCTTCCCTCTGCAAGGGAGTCTTCCTGGATTCTCTTAAAGAAGTGGTTATTAACCTGCTTCTTAAAAAACTAATTTTGGACCTGGCCACTATGGCCAATTATCGTCCAGTCTCAAATCTTCCATTCTTGGGCAAGGTGGCTGAGGGGGCAGTCGCTGAACAACTGCAGGCACGCCTGGAGGATGCAGACCATTTAGATCCCTTCCAATCAGGATTCAGGCCTCATCATGGAACTGAAACCCCATTGGTCATGATGTTTGATGGTCTCTGGCAGGCAAGGGACAGAGGTGAAAGTTGTTTCCTCAGTGGCTTTTCATACCATTGACCATTGCAGTGGTTCTGCTGCTTCCTCATGGGCTATGTCCAGAAAGTGGTGTTGGAGGGGTGAGTGTTCAGACCCCTGGGAGCTCACTTGTGGGGTGCTTCAGGGCTCTGTCCTCTCCCTCATGCTTATTAACTTCTATAGGAAGCCACTAGGGTAGATCACCAGGAGGTTTAAGCTGGGTGTTCACCAATATGTGGATAATATGCAGCTCTATCTCCTCTTTAAATTGGAACCAGTGAAGTCAGCAAACGTTTTGTATGTCTGGAGGCAGCTGGAGGATGTATGAAAGAATCCCAACAAGACAGAAATACTGTTTGAGAAAGAATCCCAATAAGACAGAAATACTGTTTCTGGGGGACAGGGGGCAGGTAGGTCTGGAGGACTCCCTGATCCTGAATGGAGTAAACTGTGCCCCCGAAAGACCAGGTCATTTTGGACTCACTGCTGTTCATAGAGGCACAGGTTAATTCTGTATCTAGGGCAGCTGTCTACCAGCTCCATCTGGTATGCCAGCTGAGACATACCATTCCTGAGTAGGAATGAAGGCATGTAGGGGCTTGCTGAGGGCAAGCTGAAGTGGGTGCCCAATTTGCCCAGATAGACCAGCCTCCACTTAACACTGCAGCATTTTGTTGCAGCCCTTGATTTTGCTTCTTAGAACCTGAAACCACAGAAAGCAGCTGTGGAGCAAACTCTTTGATTACATATTCCTGCTTTCTGCACCCTGCCCCTCCTCTCTCCTCTTCCAGAGAGAATAAATTAAGAGTTTATCTGTAATTTTCTCGGCAGGACAACTATATTGAAGTGCCAAGCAGAGTCCCCTATTGTATAAATCAATGCTTTTTATCTCAAGCTCAGGCCTTCTAGTAATGAACTAAACAAGAGACGCTGCTTCCCCCATGGATGTAATCGGCAAGCAGGTGAGCACAGAGGCTTCCTTCATACTGATGGCACAGAGAGAGTAAAAAAAGGGGGGATAAAAAGAGAGAGACAGTTAATTTGACCCAGAGTGTACAGATGGACTGTTTCCTCTGCAACGGGGCTGTTTCTATAGTTATCTCTCCAGGTCCAGCATCCTGAATGGCTTTTGGCCTTATTTCCAAGCCAGGCAGGCTGTACAAAACCATTACCATATTTATAAAGCTACCTGGATGCACAGAACATGCATGAGAGGACATGAATTGCCTATCTGTTTTACCAGCTGTTCACCCACCATTTCTAAAGGGGGGGGGTGGAAAGAAGAGGTGGGAGGCAGAATGAAGTTTCCCATTTAAGGGAAGTTGGGAGGGGGTGTTAATGAAAACGAAGCCCTTCAAAGAGAAACAAAGGAAACTCCACCACGCTGGATCATGCCAAAGACCCATCTAGTCCAGTATCCTGTTCTCATGCTGGCCAACTAGGTCCCCCAAGTGCATGTGAGTTCTCCCCACCTGTGAGTCCCAACAACTGGTACTCAGAGGCATACTGCCTCTGACAGTGAAGGTGGAACACAACTGTCATGGCTAGTAACCATTGATAGACATAACCTCCAGGAATTTGTCCAGTCCCCTTGTAAATACATCCAAGCTGATGGCCATCAATGTCTCCTGTGTGAGCAAATCCCATAGGTTAACTCTGTCCCAGATGTTTTTCCTTTCTTGAACAGTGCCAAGAGAAATTGATGAACTATGCAGAACTGGCAAAATTGACATGCAAATTATGAGACAAGAACAACTGTGACTTCGAAGAAGAATGGGAACCCTTCACAAATTATTTAAAAAGACAACAAAATGAATTGGACTCCTTGGCAGGTTTTGAATAAACATACACAAATTTATTGAGGGATAACACAGAAGATAGATAATATAAGGATGTATATAGTTTTATAATATGCAGAAGTTAACATTGGATGAGAAATCAGAGAGAGGAGCTGAGGGAAGTCGTAGGGGGAAGGAGGGGGTTTGTTGGGGAGGTGGGAGGGGAAAATGGGGGGGAATAATGAAGATGATTTGTTTTGATAATTTGCTATGTTGAAATTGTTAATATATATATATATATATATATATATATATATATATATATATGAAGATGTTTTCCCTTTCATCTGATCTGAATCTTCCAACATTCCCTTTCCATGGAGGCGCATATTGCAGCAATAACGAAGGCGGCATTTTTTCATCTCTGCCAAGCTAAGCAGTTGGCTCCTTGCCTCTCTCACCCTGACCTAGCCACTGTGATCCACACGATGGTCACCTCCAGACTGGATTATTGTAACTCGCTCTACGTGGGGCTGCCCTTGAGACTGACCCAGAAACTCCAGCGGGTGCAGAATGTGAGACTCCTTATGGGGTCCTTGCTGCGAGATCACATTCACCTGGTGCTATACCAGCTGCACTGGCTCCCGGTGGAGTACAGGATCAGGTTTAAGGTGCTGGTTTTAACCTTTAAAGCCCTATTCAGCCTAGGACCCTCTTACCTACGGGACCGCCTCTCCTGGTATGTCCCACAGAGGAATTTATGGTCTTCAAACAAAAACATCTTGAAGGTCCCAGGCCACAGAGAGGTTAGGTTGGCCTCAACTAGAGCCAGGGCTTTTTCGGCTGTGGCTCCAATCTGGTGGAACACTCTGCCACAAGAGACTACGGCCCTGCGGGACTTGACATCTTTCCGCAGGGCCTGCAAGACAGAGCTGTTCCACCAGGCCTTTGGCCAGGGCACAGCCTGACTCCCTCCTCTGGCAGTCTTCACAGAACTCTAGCCCAATGGTTGCCATCAATTTGATTTGAATTAATTTTATAATGAAATGATTTTAGAATGTTGTATTATTTTATTGTTGTTAGCCGCCCTGAGCCTGGCTTCGGCTGGGGAGGGCGGGATATAAATAAAATTTATTATTATTTATTATTATTATTTAGCTTCATTGTTATGTCCCTAGGTTCTAGTGTTCTTCTGTCTACTTTCTCCATACAATGAATAATCTTATACTCCACTATCATGTCTTTCCCCACTTTACTCACCTTTTCTTTAAAAGAAAAAGAAATCCAAATATTGCAACCCTTCTGCATGTGGAAGCCGTTCCCTTTGTTTGTTTTCCCCACCTCTGCTAAATATCCTTTCTAAGGTGAGGTGACCAGAGCTCTACACAACATTCCAGGTGTGGTTACACCATAGATTTGTTAAGTGTTACACACAAACCACCAAGCTGCATAGTTTGAGGGGAGGAAATGTTTTAAAGTGCATTTAATGTGAATTTTTGCATGGCTTTGTTTTAAAAATTAATGATCCCAAAGTCAATGGACAGACAGGATGGAAGAGGGTTATGGTTGAACATATGCAAAAGTCACTCAGTCCAAAAATAGACTGACTTGTTCATCCTTATTTTCAGTGCTTATTATGCAATAATCTGTTTAAGTAACATTTAGGGACGCGGGTGGCGCTGTGGTGTAAACCACTGAGCCTCTTGGACTTGCCAATCGGAAGGTCAGTGGTTCGAATCCCCGCAACAGAGTGAGCTCCCGTTGCTCTGTCCCAGCTCTTGCCAACCTAGCAGTTCGAAAGCATGCTAGTGCATGTAGATAAATAGGTACTGCTGTGGCAGAAAGATAAACGGTGTTTCCGTGCACCAGAAGCAGTTTAATCATGCTGGCCACATGACCCAGAAAGCTGTCTGTGGACAAACGCTGGCTCCCTCGGCCTGAAAACGAGATGAGTACCGCAACCCCACAGTTGCCTTTGACTAGACTTAACCGTCCAGGGGTCCTTTACCTTTACCTTTAAGTAACATTTATTTATCACAGTTTATTCGGGCCATCAAGAATATATATATGATTTTCCCCACCTTAATCCTCTCAACAATTGTGTGTCAGGGGGAATTTGACTCAGTTTCACATGTCAAGGCACATCTACCCAATTCACACCTCCCAAAGAACATGGGAACCTAAACAGAGTCAGCCTTCAAAATGTGTGCTTCTCTGAATTTTTCATTGCAGTTTGCCAGTCCAACAGAGCTTGCCTCCATGTCACCCGGTGTGTGTGTGTGTGTGTGTGTGTGTGTGTGTGTGTGTAATGTATGCAAAGATGCATCTACTAAAGTAAAGTGTGCTTAGAAGCACATATAAATGAAAATAACATGCAAAAACGAATCACATTTTTCTTTGCAAAAATGTGAATATTTTGAAAAGTTGCCTTCTCTGCCAACTTTTAAGTGCCTACTGAATATGTTTTTATTATACCAGTCCTATGTAGGCATCTAAGACTACATCCATCACAATGTTCTATTGATGTTTGCTTTATAAATTTATTTTTGCTTTAAACTTGTTTTTAACTTGTGATGTTACTGTTTAGTTTTATTTCTTTATATTGTTGCAGAACTCTGTGATATCTTTTAATGATACAGCAGTATATAAATATTTTTATAAATAACTACATACACACAATATATGTATACATTAGGATAAATTTGCACTGAAGTGCCAATTAACCTTCATGAGGGTTTTTTTTTAGAAAATGCAAACTGATATTTGGGGATGTGAGGAGAACTGAAGAGTAGAAAAGTGGGAATCAAGAAAACTGAATGGATGGATTTGCCTATTCCAAGATCACAAGGTGATCTTCACACCTATGGATTTGAACCAGGTTCTCCCTGATCCAGGTCCAACCTTCTTGTCATCCTTCCACATCAGTGGCACTGAGCCCTGCAAATCTTCCCCATGGGTTCTGGTGATGCTGGTGGGGCTGATTTCCAGCCACATCACAAATGTAATACAAACCCGAGAGAAAATGTGGTAGCCATAGAAAGAGTGCACTAATTTGCTGCGCATATGGCAATTTAAACTTTGGGTCCAGATAAATGTGATGGTGGCAGCAGAAAAGCTTAATGCAGAAACAGTCATCTTTGCCCCAGAAATAATGTTAGACAAAAAGGATAAGCTACACAGCTTTGGTCTTGTCTGCCAGCAGCCCAAGGCAGCTGTTGGGGTTGGCACAGAGGTCTGCAGGCTGGGTGGAAAGATGGATGCTTGCCGCATGTCCCAATTTAGACCAAAAGCAAACATATCCAACCTAGAGTTTTGCCAGACATCAATCATGTATTGCATGTGAAGCTATAGTTTATTCTAGCCCATTTTGTACCCTGTTCAACCGTGCTCAGAGAAAGGCCTTCACAAGTTGTGATAGGCAACTGGTTTTCAAGTCTGGCCAGATATTTGCAGAGCTGCTCGAGAGGAGGGCAACCAAAACAATCAAGGGTCTGGTAATCAAACCTTATGAGGAATGGTTGAGGGAACTGATTATGTGTAGCCTGGAGAAGAGAAGACTGAGAAATGATAAATAGCCATTTTCAAATATCTGAAGGGTGATTGCATGGAAGATGGAGCAAGCTTGTTCTCTGCAGCTCCAGAGGGTAGGACTTGAACTAATGGATTCAAATTATAAGAAGAGAGATTCCAACTAAATTCTAAGAATAACTTTCTGACAGTAAAAGCCGTTCGTCAGTGAAATGGACTACTTTGGAGTTGGTGAACAGAGGTTTTAAACAGAGGTTGGGGGCTGTCTGTCAGGGATTCTTTAGTGGTGATTTCTGCATTGCAGGGGGTTGGAATACATGATCTTTGGGAAACCCTTCCCATTCTACAATTCTAAGATGCCTTCCATATTCCCATGTCCTTGACTGGGCCAACCTCTATTCTCCTGCACATTTGCTTGTCTTTTCTTTCAAGGTCCACAGCACTGCTGGAAGTAGAAGACTCCTTCCCTTTCTCCTTGATATTGCCACTGCTTTCAAGCCCCACTGAATTCAAGAGAACTTACTACTGGGCATACATGGTTAGGATTGTGCTAATAGTGAGCTGACAAACCTAGACAGCATCTTAAAAAGCAGAGACATCACCTTGCCAACAAAGGTCCGTATAGTGAAAGCTATGGTTTTCCCAGTAGTGATGTATGGAAGTGAGAGCTGGACCATAAAGAAGGCTGATCACCGAAGAATTGATGCTTTTGAATTATGGTGCTGGAGGAGACTCTTGAGAGTCCCATGGACTGCAAGAAGATCAAACCTATCCATTCTGGTTTTTTTTAATAAGATATTTATTGAGATTTTCCAAATGTTACAATATAAAAATGACAAAAAAGGGGAAAAAAAGAAAAAAAGAAAAAATACAAAATACAAAATAAAAATGATTAAAAACCACTCAATTTTTCCATTACTTATTTTTCCTTAGCTTGTTTCCCGGACCTCCTCATACCTCCCTTTTTTGTATTCCAGTTCAATTTGTTGGTTCAGCAAATCCTTACCCTCTTTATTTATCCTAATCTTTGGTCTTAAAATAGTAACATTAGATTTTTACCTATTAACAACCCATTTTTCATATTCCCTTAAAGCATTACAGCTGGAAACCACTTAATTTCTATCCAACATCATTCTAACATTCATTAATTTTACAATATTTCTGTAGGTAGTCTTTGAATTTCTTCCAATCTTCTTCCACCGACTCTTCTCCCTGGTCTCAGATTCTGCCAGTCATTTCTGCCAGTTCCATATAGTCCATCACCTTCATCTGCCATTCTTCCAAGGTGGGTAGATCTTGTGTCTTCCAATACCTATCCATTCTGAAGGAAATCAGCCCTGAGTGCTCACTGGAAGGACAGATCCTGAAGCTGAGACTCCAATACTTTGGCCACCTCATGAGAAGAGAAGACTCCCTGGAAAAGACCATGATGTTGGGAAAGATGGAGGGCACAAGGAGAAGGAGACGACAGAGGACGAGATGGTTGGATAGTGTTCTCGAAGCTACCAGCATGAGTTTGACCAAACCGCGGGAGGTAGTGGAAGAGAGGAGTGCCTGGCGTGCTCTGGTCCATGGGGTCACAAAGAGTCGGACAGGACTAAATGACTAAACAACAACAATAGTCAGCTGTTATAGAGTCACAGAATTGTAGAGTTGGAAGAGGTCCAAAGAGTCATGTAGTCCAACCCTCATCTAGTCCTGCAAAACAAGAATCACAAGAATCGCTGACAGATGGCCATCCAACATCTCTTCTAAAAACCTCCAGTTAAAGAAAGTCCACACCTCCCACGATAGTGCATTCCAGCATCAAACAGCTCTTACAGGAATTTATTTACAGGATGCACACTTAGATATGTAGATCATTGCTGGAAACTGGCAAGGAAGTGACACTCCCTGGCAATTGTTACCTTCTGAGAAGAACCCATGAAGAGCCCGGCTGGATCAGGCCAAAGATTTATCTAACCACAAGCATTTTGTTTCCAAAGTCGCCAACCTGATGTCTCTGGGAAAGCCTGGGGAGGGGGGACATAGCCCTCTCCAGCGACTGGTATTCAGAAGCATGCAGCCAGTGAATTATATGGTAGCATATGTTATCTTGCCTTTAAGCAGCTACCCCTCATATATCTGTGATGGAAGGAAAGAACTTCCAGGTCAGAGTGCATCTCTGCCAACTGGGCTCCAGTCCTGTCTTTTTGTACAAATTAAGCACTGCCAGTGTTGCTTCCCACATGTCAGCAGAGAGGAAATACTGGCCCAGAGTCCCAGACTGTATGATCTACAAGACTGTGCTTCTCCTAATGGCAATTTACAGCCCCTGAAGTGTAATAAATCAGGATGTGAAAGTTCCCCTGCTCTCTTATCAGGAAGATACACTTACAGCACAAGTGTATCAGACACTCAATGAGCACACGGCGCCAACCAGCAAAGGGGAAGCTAATTCATTCACTCCAAACAAGAGAGAACTACATCAAAGGAAAGGGTGCATTCCAAATGTTTGGGCAGCTAAATTAAGAATGTAAGAGCAGGAATGCAGATGATTGAAGAGTTTGATTTCTGTATAAGAGCCATAGCTTGGTGGTAGAGCACCTGCTTTGTGTGCAAAAGGCTGCAGGCTCAACCCACTAGGTAGGAGTGAGAATGTGCCTTGATTGAAACCCTGTAGAGCAGCTGCCAGTCAGTGGAGAGAATATTGAGTTAGATGGGACAATGGTCTGCCTCAGTGTATGGCAACATTCTATGTTCTCTTTGCTGAAGAGATGTAGCTCAGTGGTATAGCATTGGCTTGGCAAGTAGAAGAGCCCAGGTTCAATCCCTGGAATCTCCAGGTAACAAGATGTGCCCTGCCTGAAACCCTGAAGTCACTGTCATTTGCATAGATGAAGGGCTCATCCAGACTTCCTTTTTTTTGTTGCATTTCTAGGCACAGATCTGGGCTTTAAAGTTCAGTGTCTGAATGGGTCTCTCTCTCTCTCTCTCTCTCTCTCTCTCTCTCTCTCTTTGTGTGTGTGTGTGTGTGTGTGTTGTCCCAATGCTTTACCTGGTAAAACCCATGTTTTACTGCTGAATTGGAGCAAACAGCAATCCTTGAAAAACCCAATTGCTGTTTGCTCCAATTCAAAAGCACTATCACCAAAAAACAAAAACCGGCGTGGACACGGCACTTTAAAACATGGACCTGTCTCTGGAAAGTGTGGTGCAAAAGAAAGTCTACATGAGCCTCAAGTGTGGCTGACCTTTGGCCCTCTAGATGTTGCTGAACTACAACTCCTGTCAGCTGTTGTAAGCATCGTCAATGGCCGGTGGTGATGGAAGTTGTAGTCTAGCAATATCTGGAGGACCAAATGTTCCCCATACTTGATGTAGACAATACTGAATAAAGTGGACTAATGGGTCTGACTCAACAGATTCCTATGACGTTCAGAACTGACCTAACCATAGAATCAGGGCAGCTGCACAACTGGCTGTGCTGACTGCCTGGAGACCCTAAACATAAGCAGGAACTCACATGTTGGGAGTTTCCTTGCAGACAACTGTATGCAGTGTGTGATTCTGTCAGAAGCTGATGTGACATGAGGGTTGAACTAAAAGTGCTGTCGTATTCAGTCACTCATTCTGAAAATGCGGCACTGTCTGCCAGTGAGATATGGGGCTCAGTTCAAGGTGCTGAGTACTAGCTAACTACTCTATTCTGAATAGAATTTAGTTGACCGCAACCCACTGTTCCTGTCCACCTTGAAATATGTGAATATATGAATGTTTAAAAAAATATTAAAATTAAAACAAATAAGAACATTTAATTGCATTTGTTTGTATTCAGAGTAGACCCACTGAAACTAAGAAACATTAATTTAAAAAGGTCTACTCTGAGTAGGGATAGTATTGGATACAATACTTGACTACTGTAATTCGCTCTACGCGGGGCTGCCCTTGAAGCTGTCCCAGAAACTCCAGTGGGTGCAGAATGCTGCAGCGAGGCTCCTCACAGGGTCTCTGCCATGGGAGCATATTCACCCAGTGCTTTACCAGCTGCACTGGCTCCTGGTGGAGTACAGAGTCAGATTTAAGGTGCTGGTTTTGACCTTTAAAGCCCTTCACGGCCTAGGACCCTCGTACCTACGGGACCGCCTCTTCCGGTATGCCCCACGGAGAGCCTCAAGGTCCATAAATAGCAACACCCTAGTGGTCCCGGGCCCTAAGGAAGTTAGATTGGCTTCAACCAGAGCCAGGGCCTTTTCAACTCTGGCTACAGCCTGGTGGAACGCTCTGCCTCATGAGACCAAGGCCCTGCAGGATCTGATTTCTTTCCACAGGGCCTATAAGACAGAGTTGTTCCGCCTGGCCTTTGGCTTGGAGCCAATTTGATTCCCTCCCTCTCTTTCTTTTTTCTTTTCCTTCTCCTCCTGCGATGAGGCTACATTTTAATATTTTAATGTTTCAATATTTTAATGCTGTATTTTAATTTTGTTTTTAAGTTGTAATCATTCAACTTGTTTTTATTATTGCTTGTAAGCTGCTCTGAGCCCGGCCTTGGCTGGGGAGGGCGGGGTATAAATAAAAATTATTATTATTATTATTATGGTACTTTGTTGTGTGTGGCCTTTGAATTCCTTGAAAAAAAAAAGTGGGATAGAAATCTTACTGCTAATAATAATAGTCAACACCATCATAACCCAGAAGTCCAGATTCTGGGAAGAAACACTGACATTGTTCAGCTGAATGCTAGAACAGGGGTTACATACTGTGAATGATCCGTGGGCACGTGCCGTCATGTTCTTGTGAATATATGTGACATTAAAGATTGCCATTATTAGTCATCGATCACCATTTGATGCTGGGCTCTCCTCCCAGGGATGTGGCCTCTGCCTCACCAGAAAATGATGGATGTGGCATTTCTAAGAGCATGGAAATGTTAACATTTGAACATGCATAATGCAAGCTGGTGAGACATCTTCGTTCGGATGTGGAAAATAGAAACAGTGATTCTAAGCCTTTGGGAGAAAGGAGCTTTGGAACACCTAATCATTTTTCAGTAATTTCTAGGAGTGATTTATTATGATTATGATAAAAATCCTGTTTTACTACTACTACTTTTTTTTTTTACTTCTTTAACAGTCTGTTTGTTAAAGGTCAATTTCTGTACAATCCTGCACTTAAAGAAACCTCAAATTATATTGATTATTAAGCCTGTCCTGGAAGTTGAGCCAATTGCACCATCATGAACAGATGCCTAACTCAGCAGAATTGACAGGAGGACCCCTGCAAATACACTAGGACTGACTTAGCACATTTTGAAGTTAGTGAAGAAATCCATGTTACTATTTAAAGTGTGTGTGTGTGTGTGTGTGTGTGTGTGAAAGGCAGAGCATTTAACTGCAAGTGTAAAATTGCCTAATGGCACCACTGTGTGGAACAAGATAGTGAGCTCCTGGGTCTAAGCAAGGGATGCGTAACTGGTGGCCCTCTGTACATAGCTGGACTCCAAGTCCTATAAGCCCTAGCCAATATGGCTAATGATCAGGGATGGTGGGAGCTGGAATCCAACTACGTCCAGAGGACACATGCACACGGATTTCCAGTTATCAGGTACCAATATATTAGGGAATGATCAAGGGAAGTAATAGTGCCACTGTATTCTGCTCTGGTCAGACCTCACCTGGAGTACTGTGTTCAGTTCTGGGCACCACAGTTCAAGAAGGACACTGACAAACTGGAACGTGTCCAGAGGAGGGCAACCAAAATGGTCAAAGGCCTGGAAACGATGCCTTCTGAGGAACGGCTAAGGGAGCTGGGCATGTTTAGCCTGGAAAAGAGGAGGTTAAGGGGTGATATGATAGCCATGTTCAAATATATAAAAGGATGTCACATAGAGGAGGGAGAAAGGTTGTTTTCTGCTGCTCCAGAGAAGCGGACACGGAGCAATGGATCCAAACTACAAGAAAGAAGATTCCACCTAAACATTAGGAAGAACTTCCTGACAGTAAGAGCTGTTCGACAGTGGAATTTGCTGCCAAGGAGTGTGGTGGAGTCTCCTTCTTTGGAGATCTTTAAGCAGAGGCTTGACAACCATATGTCAGGAGTGCTCTGATGCTGTTTCCTGCTTGGCAGGGGGTTGGACTCAATGGCCCTTGTGGTCTCTTCCAACTCTTTGATTCTATGATTCTATGATTCTATGATTTCTCTGCTTTTCTTAACTCAGCAGCCTGCATTGATACCCCAGTCGGTATAGTCAGTATCACAAAGCCTTTTCCACCTATGATTCTTGATCCTACTCTAGACTTCAATTTCCTCACCCTGCAGGGCCAGAACAATCACACCTCCCAGTCTCCATGTCCTCACCCCTTCAACATTTTATCCTACATTTGTCCACCACTGCTGCCTCTCCCAGGTTGGTTTTCAAGGCAAATGTTTTATCCATTCATTATGCAAGCTGGCTGCTGAATCATGAGGACCATAACTCTACTCTTATATCAACTCAAATTACAAGAAATGAAATTCTGAATAAATATTAGGAAAAAATTCTGATGGTGAGAGGTGTTTTGCAGTGGAACAGACAACCTCAGAAGGTGGTGGACTCTCCTTCATTGGGGGTTTTTAAACAGAGGTTGAATGCCCTGTCCTCTGTGCATGTATCTAAACCCTCCTGGGCTAGGAATGTTTACCCATACAAAGATTACAGAGAAAGAATGAATTTATTATATTATGCAGTTTTAGCAATAAAGTGCAGCAGGATACATTCACTGTACTGGGCACACATAAAACACTATTCTAACAATCACACTTAAAACTTAAATAAATAAGAGTTTTTAAACAAAAAGAGAGAAATAGCACTGAAGATTTAGGGGCAAAATTTACCACTCTGCATGTTGCCTAAGGGCTTATCCAGACTTCCTCTTGTCCTGCTACTTTCCCCCAGGGAAAACTGCTCTTTAGCACTCAGTGGCAATCAGGTTTTCCACATACTGCTGTTTGTTCCAATTTATTGCTAAAGAGCAGGTTTTCCCTGGGAAACGAGTGGGGCGATGGGAAAACCACTTGGACCCATTATTACAAAGCGTGGGTCAAGTGGAAAATCATTTGGATCCGTGCTGTCTAGAACTCTCCTGAAATAGAAAAACCAGGACACAGATATTAAGTTCAGAACTCTATGCTGAAAGTGATTTCAGATCTTTGTTAGTGAAACAGGATCACAGGCAGTGCTTTTTTTTCTTTCTAGGGAAAATGGTCTGGTACTCACCATGATCCTCTCCCCGCCCCCTTTCTCTCACACACACTGTCTCCTGTCGTCCCTCAATTTATTCAAGCTCCACTTTGCCTGCCCCTGCACCTAAAGAAACAGGTGTGTCTGCATAAGGAGCTTACAGGTCAGCTGAGATTTAAGAAGAGCATGTAGAAGAAATGGAGAATCACAAAGGAATATACACGAGTAGCCAACAGTTGCAGGGCCTGATGAATTGTGCCCAAGGGTACTAAAGGAGGATGTGGATGTAATGTCAGAACTTCTGTCTATAATTTTTGAGAATTCTTGGAGAACCATCCCTATGGACTGAAAGAGGGCAAATGTCCCCATTTTGAAAATGGGGGAGGCGAAGAAAATCCTGGTAGCTACTGACTGGTGTGGTTGATATTGATGGCAGGAAAGGTCCTAGAATAGATGGTTAAATAGCCAGTCTGTGAGCAATTAACCCTTACTCTAACCCAACCTGGTGATAACAATAAATGATGAAAGGATGGAGCTGCAGCCCAAGACAGGAAATGGGGTAGTAAGGCAATACACATAGAAACTTTAAATGAATTCAGATTTCCAGGGCCTGATGATCTGCATCT